CCCCCAAAAGCTCCTGTGTAAGACAATGCAGGAATGCTCAAAGATGACATAATTATGGGAGCTGTAAACTAATCAATGGATTAATCCATTTGATGGATTAGTAATGTGAAGGGATTAATGGGTGGTAACTGCAGGCAAGTAGGGCATGTCTGGAAGAAGTAGATCACTGGGGTTGTGCCCCTGGGAATTATATTATCCCTGGCTCCTTGCACTAAGGCTCTCTCTGCTTCCTGGTTGCCACATTGCCTGAGATGCTTTCCTCTGCCACTCCCTTGCACCACCATGCTTTGCTTCATCTTGGGCTCAGAGCAATGGAATTGGCTGACCATGGATTGAATCTCTAAAACTGTAAGCCAAAATAAACTTTTCCTCCTCTAAATTGTTCTTGTTGAATATATTGGACACAGGGATGCAAAGCTAACACACATGTAAATGGGAGGGATTAGTATGCCATCCTGTGTGCACAGGAAGTCTAGTGGAGGATGGAGGACTGTAGTAACAGGTACACAGGTGACTGTGCAAGAGTACTGAGAGCCCCCAGACGAGGTGGGCACTCTTCTCCATGCTCCCACACCAACCTGTGTATCTTTCTACCATAATGCTCATCGCCCTGAATTATAATGAGCTGTGATCTATTTGTTTAACAAGTGTTGATCTCCAAAAACTAGCGCAGCACTGACATGTAGTAGGTGCTCAGTGAGTGTTAAATGAGTAGAAACACATAAGTAAATGCTCAGGAGCTGGGGTGAAACAGGGCCACAAGCTCCCAAATAACCCATCAGATGGGATGATCACTTTACTCTCATTTTCTCTCTCATTTTCCCCTCGTTGTCTATCATTTTCTGAAGCATATTCCATGAATACTAGTGATTTCAGTGAGTTGCCCCTTGTGGGGAAGGTTCATCAAATCAAATAAAGTGGGAAAACTGCATATCCTATCTCCCTCTTGTAAAGAGATCGTGCACATATCATAAATTCTGAAAAGTCCTTTGGTAGAGGAAAAAAAAATTCCTAAAAAAAGAAAAAGAAAATAAATTGCCCTTTTTTACATACTAATTATGAAAGAAGATGAACTTTGGGCACTTTTGCCAAGTATCCATGCTTGGGCTGCAGAAGTGGTTCTCCAACTCCAATAAGCATCAGACCCCACCCCCACCCAGGCCTAGTTACAACTCAGAGTGCTGGGCTCATCCCCGGGGGTCTGATCTTATGGGTCTGGGGGAGTGGTGGTGGGGTGTCCAGGAACTTGCATTTCTAACAATGTAATTCCCAAGTAATGCCAACGCTGCTGCTCCAGAATCACAGCAACAGAGGGAACATGGCCAAGACACTGCCAGTGGGCAGGGGAATCCTGAAGACTGAAGTCAGGGCTGAAAATGTGCAGATTCCTCCTTCCAAACCAGGAGATGATTATTTTATGTTTAGAAAAGGAGACTAAGTACAGATAACTCCTGCTAGTGTCAAACCAAAGTCACAGACAGCTTCTGGGGGTGAGACTGTTTGTCCTGTATAGTCCTCTTAGTGGAGTGTGATCAGAAGTAGTGACAAGAGTAATTTGTGAAGACAGGACATTTGGAGCAGGGCAAGCAACTTAGAACACAGAAGTGGACATCTCTAGGCAGGGAAGAGACCCCCAGGGGCTGTGTATGGGCCAGATTTGCCCAGAGCAACACCAGCCCCTGGGCTGATGACATGCTCCCGATGCCCTGGACCCATGTTCCACAGCATCCTATTCTTTTTATTTATTTGTGCATGTGCATGTGTGTGTGCATGTACATGTGTGTGCATGTGTGCACATGTGAGCACATGCTGGGCAAGTGTTTTACCCACAGAGCTATACCTTCAGCCTTAGTTAGTTAGCACCTTTTTTTTTTTTTTTTTTTTTGAGCGTGCCTCTCTAAATTGTTGAGGCTGGCCAAACTTGCAATCCTCTTGCCCCAGCCTCCAGAGTCACTGGGATTACAGGGCGTGCACCACGGTGCTCAGCTCTTACTAGCATCCTCTTCTTGAACTTCCTGCCCCATTGTCCTTTTGTAAGAGACCCAAGGTTGGGAAGAAGCAATAGCTTATGGTAGCACCAAGGTCTAATGTGCTAAAGAAACACCTTCCAGCAGCCATACACCACAAAAGAGTAGAAAGTCCACTTTTCCTGACTCAAGGTTCTAAGAGTCATACAGAGATTTCCTCTCTGAACCTGTCCCTTAGTGTCTCTGCAGAGTGCCTGGATTGAATGTGACTGTGTTCTACAGTTTACCTGTGAGCAAACACTCTGGAAGCACTACCTTACTTCTCCATGAGTTTAATGGGACTGCCCCATGGATGCGAGGCCTCCCCGCCAGGCTCACCACTACACAGTGAAACTTCCCAACCAATTCTGGTTTGTTTTTTGTTTGTTTGTTTTTTCTATTTTCCCACCACAGTTCTGATTACAGTAGTTCTCCAGGGCTCTTAAACAAAAGATCAGAACTTAAATATAGCCCTTTCTATGCTCCCCATAGGCAGGCCTTTCTTGGCTTCTCAAATGAGCCTCATGCTTCCCCAGTGTTATAAAAATGAGCCACAACAGCCCTGTGTTGGTTATTTCCTCACCACAGGCTGAGATCCTGTAGCTGAGAAGCCTGGAATAAACTCAAATTTTTACACATCCATCCAGTTTTTTTAAAAAATTGCCAAACAAGCAGATTTTTAGCCATTTAGGACCTGCCTGCTTTGCATACCTGTGTCATTATACCCAGCATTTACTGGCCATTGATAAGACAGAGCCCAAGCTGACATTGCCCTTTGGAGTTTTATCCTGAGACTCCTTGCTGGGGTCCTGAGAAACATCACCTAGACACGCAAACCTCTCTCCAGTCACCACCCCACCTTGGGAGTTCCTGTGCCCTTCCCTTCTGGATGGTACCCCTCCCCTCCCTCCACCCACCATAGCCTTAACAGACTCAGGCTGTGGGACTTCCTTTCTCATGCCACCCTGTCCAAGCATGTTACTGCCTGTCATGGTCATATCTTTGCCCTTGATTAGCTCCCAGATCCCTCAAACCCCTTCCGTCCAGCCATCAGCTTTAACCATGTTGGTCTGTTGCCCACGCAGCTCTATGTTCTCAGCTCCATCTCCAGGGAGCTGCCGGCCCGCCAAGACCAAGGGGGATCACCTTATTACACTTAACTCAGCTTTAAGTACCACTCAACTCACTTGCTTGCTGTCAGTTACACCTGTTACCATAACTGTGTATTTCTGAGATTAATTTTCTGGGTCATTTGATAAGGTGCTCCCTCCCACTAGACAGTGATCTGAAGGACAGCAACCTCCACATTAATTTTCCTCACAACCCTGACCCTGGCACCCAGTCCACACTTGGCATCAAGCAGACCCCTAAGAAAGAAATATAGGAGCTGGGAATGGTGGCGCATGCCTGTAATCCCAGCAGCTAGGGAGGCTGAGGCAATGCAACTGCAGATTCAAAGACAGCCTCAGCAATGTAGCAAGGCTGCAAGCAACCTAGTGAGACCCTGTCTCAAAATAAAAAAATAAAAACGCCAGGGACATAGCTCAGTAGATAAGCTATAGGAGCCAGTTGTCATGGCACATGCCTGTAATCCCAGCAACTCAGAGGCTGAGGCAGGAGGAGTGCAAGTTTGAGACCAGACTCAGCAATTTAGTGAGGCCCTAAGTAACTTATGAGACCCTGTCTCAAAACATAAAATAAAAAGGGTTGGGGTGTGTCTCAGTGGTTAAGTTCCCCTGGGTTAAATCCTGGTACCAAAAAACAAAAACAAAACAAAACAAACAAACAAAAAAAAAACAACTACCACCACCAACAAAAAATAAAGGCACAAAACAGCTTGAGAAGTTATATTGACACAAAATTTTCCAAATTTCTATGAAACAGATACGGTCTTTACTATCCTGAGAAGTCAGTGTTTTGTCATATTGGGTTCAATCCATATCAACACACAGGCATTTTCATTGAATTCTTTGTGAGACTCATGGGGACCCTAGCTTATTAGTGAGACAGCTCCCAGACCCTCCATTGCTACTCCACAACTATAGTGATCTTTTTAAATCACCAAACCTAGGCAAGTCAGCTTAAGAGCAGAAGCAGGTGTTTTAAGAGAATTGTTGTATCACCGTTTAGAAACATCATTTTTCTATTGTTCTTACATTTGTGAATGTGCAAATAAACTTTTAATTTAATTCCTGTTGAATAAGGACTCAGGGTGGAGGTGAAATAGTTATCCTAGCTGGACACTTGAACATGAAATATCATCCTATCATTTCACTGGATGTGAAATATCATCATCCTATCTAAAGTTCTCTATCAAGGTGGGGCACAGTGCCAAACACCTGTAGTCTGTGACCTCTGCCACTCAGGAGGCTGAGGCAGGAGGATCTCACTTTCCAGGCCAACCTGGACAAGTTCACAGACCTTGTTTTAAAAATAAAAATAAAAAGGGGCAGGGTGGACTGAGGATGTAGGTTAGTACTAGAGTGCCCTTGGTTCAATCCCTGGTACCGCAAAATAATTCAATTAATCAAAAAGTTTTCTATCACCTGTTTGATTCACTAAAAACCATGTGAATGCAAAGGCTGACATGTGGCTCACAGGTAGAGCACCTGCCTAGCAAATGTGAGGCCTGGGGCTTGATCCTGGGTGCACAGGTATGCACAGGCCAACCCCCCCCCCCCCCACACACACACACACGCATGCAAGGTCACGTGCGTGTTTTATTTTATTGCTGAGTCTGTGTACAATGAGAATGGACCATGGAATTAAAAACACACACAGGACAGTGAGGGAAAGAGAGTCATTTGTACAGCTGGCCATTCATTCCTCCTCAAGCACTTCCTGAGCTTCCTATCTACTTTGGGCAGATCGGCCCAACCCACTCGCTCCCCGCAGTGTGTACAACTCTCCCTGCACAGCCATGGCCTTTCATGGAAGGAAGGGCCAAGAAGTCATCGAAGGTCACAAGGGCTGCAACCATGCAATCATCCCTACCGAAGGCGTGCGCGCAGTCCTGGCCCTGCCGCGTGGCGTACTCCAGGCAGCCGGCTCTCTCCTCCAGGGGCGGGCAGGGCGCCCCTCCGTTCTGGGGCTCCTGCCGCACCGAGCGCCTGCGCACGCGGATGGTCGGCTTGCACTGGTCCGCGCAGCCACTCCAGGGGCTCCACTCCCCGACGAAGCACGGGCGAGCTGGAAGACAGCACAACGGGACGCGCCCCTGAGTAAACCCAGCCCCCTGCAGGGCTGCTCCGGACAACACCAACAGTCGAGTTTAGCCCAACTTCACCTTGACGGGGCCTGGGTATCAGGAGGAAGACGCAGAGCATCGCCTCCGCCCCGCGCTGATGGGGAACTGATAATGGAGAGGTGGACGGGGGAGGCCCCCGGATCCTGAAGGTGTGTCTGAGCCAGAGACAGGCGGCCAGGTAAATTCCTTCAGGGAACTTCCTCATACTGCTAGGGTTAGATAAGATCTTTGCTTTTGTTTTGTTTTTAATATTAACTTTATGTGTCCCTGCCTGTAACATTTTCCCCTTTTCAGATCATTTCACTTGTACATATTTATAAGGTGCAGTATGATATCTCAGTGATGTATTAGATAAGGTGTAATGATCAGATCTGGGTAATTGGCAAATACATCACCTGACACATTTGTCATTTCTTTGTGTTGGGAACATTCATAATCCTCTCGACTACCTCCATTGAAATATGTGATTAATTGTTGCCAACCTTAGTTGCCCTATTGTGTGCTACAGAACATTAAAAATTATTTCTCCTAACTGCACCCCTGTACCCAGTAGCGGTCCTTTCCCCACTCCCCACATTCCTCCACCCGGGACATTTTAGTATAACAATAAAACATATTCGTTTTAGAAAACATGCGGCTGGGTAATAAAAATGAGAGGTACTTTACTTACCAATAATCTGAATACTTAGCCATGTCAATTCTTCTCTGCAAATGTGTCTCCATAAGATACAAGGCTTAGGGCCACACACAGGGACCTCTATAATTTAAGACTTCTCCCACTTTCTCAGATGGCACCCCACCTCCCCCAATAGCTCACAGACTCTTATGTGAGAGCTGGAGTTTGGAGATGAGCAACCAAGACCCAGAGAAATAGAGTATTCACAGTTGTTCACAGAGAGGTTCAGTCAGTCTTGACTTAGCCCTAAAGGCTAGTTCTTTCCATTAGTTGTGTTTCTCAAGCATTTGGTAGAATTCAGGGCCCTGCTGGCCTATAGCAGCCAGCCATGTGCTAGGCTGTTCCCTGGAGTCCAATGACATGTTTTAGAATTCACCTAAATAGACAAATCAAACCAGTCTCTTTTATTTTGTTCTCAAGTTCACTAACCAAATCTGAAAACAGAATTTAAAATTCCAATTTCCTCTCCATGACTTTAAAATCAATTGGTTTCACATTTAACTTTCCCATTGAAAATTCTAATGAGTCTTTTTTAAAAGACGGCAATGAGTTTTTAAATTGAGTTATTTCAGGACTTGAAATGAAATATAAGAAAAAAGAAAAAGACAGATGTGCCCTGAAGTAGATGCCAAATCTCTCCACAAAGTGAAACCCATTTTCCCTACCACTGTTATATTTCAAGTTCATAGTATTTCCTACAGGAAATCACTCTGACTTCTTTGAAACCTTAATTTGGACTTCTAGCAGTTCATATGTGAAAACTTATTTTGCCTTTCAACAGATTAGTTTAAGGTTCATAGTTGGGGAGGACATATTTGTCAACACATATTTACCCCTGATGTGAAAGAAGTTCTCCCAACATAAACATCTGTTAGTAATTCAAATGTTTTAATGCTATTTTAAAACATAATTTCATTATCATCTAAAAACTCATAGATAGCTGGGCATGGTGGCACACACCTATAATCCCAGCCACTTGGGAAGCTGAAACAGGAGGATGGAAAGTTCCAGTCCAGACTAAGAAACTTAGACTTTGTTTCAAAACAAAAAGGGCTGGGCATAGAGCTCAGTGGTAAAGTGCCCCTGGGTTCAAACCCCAGTAACTAAATACATAAATACATACCCATAGATATCAAGACAACTATCTACAGAAGCAAGAATGAGCCATATTAGTATTCATCCCCAATATCCACCATGTATCTACATCCTTAGGAAAATCACTAACAAGTCACTTCCCTGCTGTGGTCATCTTTTGTTGACCCCACCCTTTTAATTTTCATGACACCATTTCATTGAACCATTGGAAAAGAAGACATTTAAAGAGACCCCTAGGCTGGGTACTGATTGAGAAGGACATTTTTTGTCTTTACCTCACCACTGCTGTGCTCCAGCTTCCTCCCTAAGTCTAGGTAGTCCTGCCCTGATGTCCTGATGTCCTGATATGTTGGACATGAGGATAAACAACACAACAACATTATCTATCTATCTATCTATCTATCTATCTATCTATCTATCTATTTTTTTATAATGGGGATCTGGGAGTTGAACTCATGGGTGCTTTGCCACCGAACTACATCATCAGCCCTTTTTATTTTTTATTTTGAGACAGGGTCTTTCTAAGTTGCTTAGGACCTCCCTAAATTGCTGAGGCTGGCTTCTAATGTGTAATCCTCCTGTCTCAACTTCTGGAGTCGCTGGGATTATAGGTGTATAATGCCATCACACCTGCTATTATATATGTATTTTTAAAATGCATTTATTTCAAATATTAATATTTGGCATCACTATAAAATAAAGTTTTGCCACAGCCTTAACTCAGAATTTAGTAATATGGCCTTGACTTAGTCTCTAGCCATTTGGCAAAAGATGATAGTGAGGTGAGGAGTCTGACTGAATTTAGCCTCTTTGGATTTCAACATTTGTGTCTCATGTCCAATATTTATTTATTTTATTTGGTTTGGTCCCAGAATTGAAGCCCTCAAAAAACACGGAATCATTGCATCATTGTAACAATTCCTGTTGATTAAGGTTCTTCCTTGGCATAATGCTATTTCCTATTTTTCCAATTTATCTTTTTAAAAGCCCCATTAAAGCAGGGAACTGTGGCTCAAGTCCCAGCTACTTGAGAGGCTGAGGTAGGAGGATCACTTGAGCTCAGGAGTTTGAGACTAATCTGGGCAACATAGGGATACCCAATCTCAAAAAATTAAAATAAAAGCCCATAAAGACAATCAGAAAGTTCTAGGGTCCAAGACAACAACATCGCAATGGTTTCATTGTAAAACAAAATGGGGGAAAATTCACACAGAATCAAAGAAATAAAAACGTATTGCACAAAATATTTTTTTGCGTTGTAATGTTATCTCAGGTACTTATTTCTCTTCTACACCAAATCTTCTATCCGTGATTCACTTGTGAACTTTTGATTATTTGGACTGCAAGCTTTGGTAGGTCACAAGAGGTCTTCAGTCACAGAGGTTAGGGGCTAGGAAGGAATTTCTGACTGATTTATTACCACAAGTCATATATTACGGCTTTATGACACACATTTCCTTTTGAACTGTCCCATTAGTATTTTTGTCCCTTTCCCACTAAAGCTTATCTAAATCACATCTATTTAGAGCATATCAGAATGTTTTTTTCTTAAAATCTGACTTTCTCAATCTTCACATTTAGTTTCACCTGCTATCAATGGAATCTGTCAGGCTGTGTAACCTAGTGTTATGACTCAGGCCTTTGACTCAGGAAGGAAACCTGGTGTTAATGGGTGCCAGAAAGCTCAGTGACTTTCTTTTCTTCTTTGTTTAAACTTAACCTAATGTTCAGGTTTCCCCAGAAGCAGCCCATAAAATATGGATTTGAATGCAAGTAATTTATCTGGGGCCTGTGACCCCACAGAATGCTATAAAGGGAGTGGAGAACAGAGATAGAACAATCTTACTTGCTACTATAGTCTTAGTGGGCTTCTCTGGCTCCTAGCTCTTTGGACAGTGAGATGATAGACAGATCCAGGGTGTAAGGAATGATAGAGTCCTTCTCTCTCAACTTTTTCTTTTTGGTATAGGGGATTGAACCCAGCACCTTATGCATGCTAGGCAAATGCTCTGCCACTGAGTTACATCCCTGGGTCCCTGGCCCTTTTTATTTTAAGACAGGATCTAAGTTGCCTAGGCTGGTCTTAAATTTACAGTCCTTTTGCCTCAGCCTCTCAAGTAACAGATTACAGGCGTGTAATCTATGCCTGGGAATCAGATTCTTCTGGATTTGCCAACTAGTTTCCTTTCCTCAAGAGCTTTCTGGTGATCAGATATCCCTACCACAGCCACAGGAAAATGGCCAAGAAGAGAAAAGTGAGTTGTATATTCTAGCAATGAACCTAAACATAAGGGTAGGATATATTTATTTCCTTCCTTCATTCTTTTCTCCTTTGGAGATTGTGGGGGAGGGGGAAACTTTGCCATTGAGCTATATCCCCAATCTTTATTTTGAAACAGGGGCTCACTGAGTTGCCTTCAACTTGAAATCCTCCTGCCTCAACCTCCCAAATAGCTGGGGTTACAGGCATGCGCCATCATGCCTGGCAAGAATAAGATATATTTTCACATCATCTAATAATAGGAATAGTGAGTCATATCCAAGTTCAATTACATTAAAATTTGTACCACTGATTTCTCTTCTGGGGGGTGGAGTATTTACTTCATAAACTCCCTCATTTATTTCATTTGGATTTCATTAGGGTTTTTTTTGGTTTTGATCTGGTGGGGATCCAAGCTAGGCCTTTGAGAATGCTAGGTAAACACCATACCACTGAGCTACATCCCCTTCACTTAAAATGAAATCCAAATTCCCTCCTATGGCCTACAGACCCCGTGTGACCTGGCCTCTTCCTGACCCTCCACTCCCACTTGAGGTTCCGCACATCTACCACCCCTGTGCCCCACCTCTGCTCCAGCCACATTGGCTCCTCCATCCCTTGAACAAAACAAGTTTATTTATATCCTGGAATCTTTGTCCATGTTTTCATTCTGCAGAGAATATTCTTCCCATGTTGGGCATGGCTGAACAGTTCATCCTTTAGATCTTAGGTGAACTGCTTCCTTTACAGAGTTTTTCTCTGGCCAACTTGGCTAACTAGTCTCCCAGCCTCCTCAAAACACACACACACACACACACACACAAATACACACAATTATTTCACTTTAGAGCTCAATGTTGCCTTGTAGCAGCTCCAAAATTTATGATTATATATTTGCTTTAATAATGGTT